CGGGGCGGGCGGGGGGGTGGGCACCAGGGGAGTCTGGGCTCCCCCACCTTTGCCCACCCGTGCAGGGAGCAGCCTGGAGCCTGAGGAGCGCAGCATGGAGCCACCAGCCGTGCTGGAGGAGGAGATGCCCCTCGCCGCAGCAGCCGCCCCGGCAGGTTGCCAGCTCTTCGGTTACGTGGGGATCGAAGCTGTGCTTGACCAGATGAAAATCAAAACCATGAAGACAGGCTTCGAGTTCAACATCATGGTCGTGGGTGAGCACCGGCTGTGGGGTCCGCTCTCAGCTGGGGGGAGAATCCTGGCTCCGATGCCGCCGTGCCGGGGGAAGTAATGCTTTTGAGGGATTTTAAGCAGTTTAAGCAGCAAGAAATTAAAAAGGAGCAACATGCCATACCCCATAACGTAGCGATGCTGATGGGTGAGCTCATCCCAGCCTCCGGGATGCTCCTGAATGCGTACCGAGGGGTTGTCAACTCAGAATAATTTTACTGGGGAGGACAAACCGGAGCTATCCCAGCCTTCAGGATGCTTCCAAATGGGGACCAAGGTCTTACCATCCTGGGGAATAAATTTACTGAGGGGAATAAACCAGGGCTGTCCCAACCTCTGGGATGCTCCCAAATGGATACAGAGGTGTTACTGCCCCAGGGGAATTAATTTATTGGGGAGGGGGGATAAACCGGAGCTGCTGGTGTCGCTGCAGGGCAGAGCGGGCTGGGGAAGTCGACGATGGTGAACACCCTCTTCAAGTCCAAGGTGAGCCGCAAAGCCTCGCAGCCCGGCCAGGAGGAACGCATCCCCAAGACAGTGCAGCTGCAGTCCGTCACCCACGGTAAGGTCACCGCCATGGGGTCATGTCCCACCAACCCTGAGGAGAAGCAGGGGACCAAGGGGGACCCCTTGGGCCCCTGCTTCTCCCCAATGCTTGTTACCCACTGAACCACATCTCTGCCCCATAGTCATCGAGGAGAAGGGTGTGAAGATGAAGCTGACAGTGACGGACACGCCGGGGTTTGGGGACCAGATCAACAACGAGAACTGGTAGGACATAACGAAGTGCATCATCCCAGCTTGGTGGGTGGCAGATTGGGATGGGGATTGAGCTCAGATGCTGTCGCCCAACTCCTCATCCTCAGCTGGGACCCCATCATCAAATACATCAACGAGCAGTACGAGAGGTACCTACGCGAGGAGATCGTCATCACCCGCAAGAGGAAGATCCCGGACACCCGGGTCCATGGATGCGTCTATTTCGTGCCCCCCACGGGTCACTGGTGAGACCCCACTCACAGCACCCGTGGGTGCTCCCTGCTTGATGGTGCAGGTCAGCCCGGGGTGATGGTGATGGGGTCACCCTGGGGTGATGGTGGTCCTTGGCAGGCTTCGCCCACTGGACCTGGAGTTCATGCGGCGGCTCAGTAGGATTGTCAACGTGGTGCCAGTGATTGCCAAAGCCGATACGCTCACCCTTGAGGAACGGGCAGAGTTCAAGCAACGGGTGAGGACAAGTCCCTGAGGGACTGCCGCGGCGCCCTGTGTCACCTCCAAACCTGGCTCAAGCCCCGTATCCCACAGATCCAGGAAGACCTGAAGACCCACGCCATCAGCGTGTACCCACAGGAGGACTTTGACCAGGACCTGGATGACAGAGCGCTGAATGACAGGATTCGGGTAAGTGCTGGGATGCTGGGATGGGAGATGCTGGTCCCTGGGGTGCGTGGTGGGGGAGAGACGACCCCAGGGGAGCCTGGCAGCACCCCGGGGCGAGTGCATTCCTCTGCACTGGCAGGAGAAGATCCCCTTCGCCGTGGTGGGGGCAGACCAGGAGCACCAGGTGAAC